CCATGTCATTCTGGAGGTGGATAATAGACTGTTTGTACTTTGCTTCCTTCCTTGTCATCTTCCTTCATTTTAATGTTATTTTTTTTTAATATATTTTTATTGAGTTTCTTTTATTACATCGTAAAACATCATGGTATCAACAGAGTTCTTGGCATCTGTGCAGGTTTTTGGTTTAAATATCATAATACATTGTATTACATTTGTCTAATATTAAATAATAGCTTTAACTATGGTTACTATTCTTATATCTTTATATAATTTACAAACTTTTGTTTTACTTTCTTAAGAATTATTTCAGTTCGGCTTTTTGTCTCACTTCTTAGTTCTGTTTGTTAACCATTTATACCATTGTTCCAGATTAAAAAGAATTCAGAGTCATCTTTTTCCTTTCACTTTCATTGTTAACATGTTCATCTCAGCACTTTCTGTTACTTTATGTATTATTAGTTCTTCATTAGGAGTATTTGGGGTTTTCCATACTTGCGCAAAGGCTATTCTGGCGGCTGTTGTAATGTGTAACAATAAGTATTTTACTTCTTTTGGTAATCTTTGATGATTCCTAAGAGGAAGGTTTCTGGTCTGAGCTCAATCTGATACCCAGTGATCTCTTGTAACCAATTTTTGATTTGGATCCAGTATGTCCTGGTCTCAGGGCATAACCACCACATGTGATAAAATGTACCGTCAACTTTTTTTACATTTCCAACATTTGGGACTCCTGTTGGGATAAATGTTTGCCAATCTCGTTGGAGCTAAATACCATCTATAAAACATTTTGTACATATTTTCTTTGTATGCTGCGGATACCGCTAACTTATAATTTACGTTCCATATTTTCTCCCATTCCTCTAATTCTCTAGTGTATCCAAAATTCTGTGCCCATGCAATCATTGTGCCTTTGACTGTTTCCTCTTCCATTTTGAAATCTAATAAATAGTTGCATATTTTAGTTACAAGTTTTTGTTCCAGTCCCATTAATATTTTATCTAATCGGTCATTTTAATGTTATTATTTACCACTGTAACATTTTAAAGCTTTCTTTTGTTGTTTTTACTCTGATGTAAGCCTCTAGATGAGATGGGTGGTATATAAATCGAATACATTTATACACCACCCATAAATAAATTTAATAAACAAATATTGGTCTGCCCTGAGCCACAGGTTAAACTAGATGATCTGCTTCAACAAACTTGCAAATATACTTAATCCAATTGCTCAGTCTCATTTGCTGATTTTTCAATCAGTCATCCCCAGGAAGTCTAGTCCTCATGCAGATATAAATGGTTGATTTGTAAAACTGAACAGGAACTATACTACTCTGTCCTATAATGTAATTAATACTCTATTGGTATAGACTTCCATACCATGTTATACTTCCAGTGTTTAAAAGTTGAGCAAATAAAATAAAATAAAAACTAGTTTGATCTGGTGGTTAAGCATCAGGCTAGAAACTGGGAGACTGTGAGTTCTAGTCCTGTCTTAGGCGTAAAAGCCAGCTGGATCACCTTGAGGCAGTCACTCTCAGCCAACTCACA